GAGAGAGAGAGAGAGAGAGAGAGAGAGAGAGAGAGAGAGAGAGAGAGAGAGAGAGAGAGAGAGAGAGAGATTGCCTCGTGCATTCACCTGCTCGCTCGTAAGTAGTAGAGTTGAGATTAAAAAAAAGTGAAATAGAAAACGAGACGTCAAAAACCCCGGAGGAAGAAAAACGTTTTATGGAGGGGGAACTCTGTTCGCTCGTCAGCAGGAAAGCTTCGCTTTGCCCTTCCCGCATCGCCTTCCCCCCGCGGTCCCCTTCTCCCGCCCCTTGCTCTCCCGCCTTCCCCTCGCCCCAGGTTCCCCGCCTTACTCCCTCCTCTTCCGCCCCGCGAGCGCGCTCCCTGCTGGCCCTTATTCCCGAAAGGTTTTCAGAGGGAACGGCATGCGCTTTTCCCCCCCCAGTATTAGGCCATATTAATGTTAACGTTATGTTTTTTTTTTTCCTTCTTTTTTCTTCTTGTTTTTTTTTGGGTTCTGTTTTTCCCGCCACTAGCAACCTATCTCTGTCTTGGTCCGACTTCCTTGCAGTCCAGATCCCGACTCATAGATCCACCGGGCCGCGATCCCTTAGCAGAATTTGCACCCAGCGAGGTATCCACGAAGGTGTAGTTTTTTTGTTTATCCCCCCGCCCCTCCACCTTCACCGCCCTCCTTCCCTCCTGCCCGCCCACCTTTTCCCGCTCCTCAAATGTCCCCTTTTTTCTGTTTTTTTTTTTTTTTTTTTTTTTTTTCCAGGAAGGGGTCTTGCTGCCTAACCGTCTCATTTAATAGGGATTCAAATTCATGTCTGTCTTTGGACACGTGGATGGTGTGTATCATTCAGCCGCCACGTGCGCTGGGTTCCTTCTTTTCTTTTCTTTTTTTTTTTCTCTTTTTTTGTTTGGACTCGAATTGTTGACTCTATTTTTGAATTTTTTTTGGCTTGAAGTTTCCCCAGTCGTCAGGGAAGCTGATTATAGAACGAAAAAAAAAAAAAGACGATTATAGAACAAAACAAAAAAAAACGACGATGATAGATTTGTACGGTTGGCAATCAATTGGCTGAAATCTGAGCTTATACGCTCTGCGACCGCTTTTTCCCGAATAGAACACCGGGTCAGTTAACTGCATCTAGCCAGGAACGCGGGTTATATACATTCATGATATTGCAGCCGTGATGGATGGTGATGCCGACGATTCTCATCTGGCTGCATCTAGCAAGGAACACGAGTTATATACAGTCGTTCATGATATTGTAGCCCTGATGCTGATGCTGATGGCATTCCTCGGCCATTAAGTTGTGATGAGCATTCACCATGCTATGCTTTTGTATTGAATGGTGACGACTATTCTTAATTAGGCTATGGAAATTTTTGATGAGCATTTTTTTTTTTTTTTNTGGAAATTTTTGATGAGCATTTTTTTTTTTTTTTCTTTTTTTTTTTTAATGACTATTCTGAAACCACTCACTCTAGTACGTCGGAGGTTTTTTTTTTTTTTTTTTTTTTGGGTCCGGGGCTGAATTCACGAGAACGTTTTTGAATTTCGGGAAAAAAAACATAGAATATAAAGTAAAAATTTGAGCCTTGGAGAAGCGCCAGTGCGGCGTTTTTTTTTTTTTTTTTTTTTTTTTTACAAGAAAAACAATGGACTGTTGTCATAAGCAAAAAGGCGTTTTTGTTTAGTTTTGGCTCTCTCGCCGCCAGCCATTTTTTGTCCAGTTGCCCTGAGCCTCCATTTTTTTTTATTTTATTTTTTGTCCCGGGAGCCTCTGATTGTTTTCGGAGTGAGTCAATCGTGATTTTTTTTTTTTTTGAATTTTCAGTCATTGTGATTCTTTTTTTCTTTCTAATTTTCAATTGTGACTTTTTTCTCCCCTTCAGATCGTGATTTTTTTATTTTTTTTTTGGTTCAATCGTTATCTCAAGCTGGTTGGGGCCATGTATGCTGGTGGTTTATTTTATTCATGTTATTGTATTGAATTGTGGCGGTTATTCTATTCTCCTCTTCTATTAATTATATTGAATGAATTGTGATGACTATTCTCAATGCTTTTTTTTTTTTTTTTTTAATTCTCAATGCCATATTGTATTGAACGGCGGTGATTATTTTAAGCAGTGCTTTTGTATTGCGCTTACGATTCTTAATGATGCGATTGAACGGTTCGTGGCTGTTCTTTCTTGAGTGGTAGGCACCACTGAGGTATCTTCTTCCCCTGAATACAACGCACGGTCAATACACCTGTATTTAGACTTAAAAATACCCTAAATACAGCAATAATGAC